TCTAGCTACACGCATACAATTATAGGTGCGCAAACAAATAAACATAAGTGCAAACATACACATTATGTTGGTGCTACCACGCACGTATATGTTACACCACACAGATACAGATGCATACACGCAGATGTAGATACAGACACTAAAACAATGTGGTGCTATTCTCACACTCCTACCCCCCCCCCCCCACCTCCCCACCTCCACATACCTTGAAAATTGCCTTAATTACACTGAAGGTTAAACTGGCGGCACCGCCCCCATGCGGATGTAGCAGTGACCCCATTTTACAAATTAAAAATGTCACATTTTCGTGGCATCCTGAAAAAAAGTGACAACGGAAAATGTCACCGGATCTGCCCCTTGTTGAAAGAGCTCAAAGTGTAAAATGATCCGGTGACCGGAATTGTTGAATCGACCTCTTTCATCAGAACCCTCTGAAGTAAGGCAAGAGAACCTGACGATATTGTGTGCTAGTTGTGGTGGAGTCAATGATGACAGCGGATTCATTAATAATACAGGGATTAAAAAGCAATTAGCTGTACATTTAAACAAAGACAAATTAAAAAAACAAAATCAACTTTTTAATAATAGATCTTCTAAATTTATAAGACAATGTAAAATTAATTTGAGACAGTTTTGGAAAGGAAATGTTTTTAGAATGCTTTTTATTTCGTTTTAGAATCATGCCATTATTGACTATGTGTTTATGAATTATGTGTGAAATATGTGTGTATATACATTTTACGTATAACTTGAAATATAGTTTTCATAGAAATTGTATATATATATATGTATATATATATATATATATATATATATATATATATATATATATATATATATATATATATATATATATATATATATAATTTTTTATTAGCTTATACACACCTAAATAAAGTTCTAGAAAAAGTACACATATAGTGTTTGCTATCAAGGCTACACACATACGCTCTCTCTCTCTCTCTCTCTCTCTCTCACACACACTCACACACACACACTATTAGTTATATAAGAACACGAACAATTTATATTTTAATAGTTTTTATATTGCCTTCATGTAGAACTAGACCATTTAAAAAATAAAGACGTCAATTATCATTTGTTTTTATAGTCTTTTTAATCTCTTTCCGTCATTGGCTTCTCAAAATAACTAATAAATAATGGCCGCCGCTTTCGTTGGAAGCACGACCTAATTAATGAATTCAAGCACCTGATCCAGCAACGGAAAATTTCTAAACTGTATTTAGTTGAAACGTCTCAAATATCTGAATTTGACGTGAGTGCCTCCAGCGTTTTGCTCCATCGTCTGCCCGCCGATTCCATCCGCTGGCTTGCCACATGTTGGAGTTGTCGAACCTGTAGGAAGCGAGGCGGGGGAAGTCTCAGGGAAAGCTACGGGCGGGCCGCGAGGACTGAGGGGAGAGCGAGTGTGTGTGTGTGAGTGAGGGATAGTCATTGAGAGCGGGCTTTTATTGTTGCTTTGTCGGCAGCCGACCAGTGGTGATTGTTATCGTTATCACGTGCTCAGTGCCCTGTCATCTCATGCTTGTTGATGCCTGTGAAATGTTTTTCAACGATAACATTTTTTTTTTACAAAAATTTAAATAAATCAATCCAGTACTTAACAACTCATCACTAGTAGTTTAGGTATCTATTTATAAAGGTATTGACAATGTATTCATCAACTAACTCATCATAACTTGGTGAGTACAATGTGTTTGTGTTTGATGTGTTTATGTTCATGCGTGTGCATTATACACATGTTTCACCTATGTGCAGGTGTGTATGCATTAATTTTTATTGCGTCAAACGAAAATAATGGACCGAACTCAATTAATCTGTGCTTAGATCTAGAGCAACATTTCATTTTCATTAACAATAACAATGCTATCTGTTACACATCTGTGTAGATCTGGAGTATACGATTAATTCGCTTTTCGTGGATGTCAACAAAGTTAATCTATGTGAGCTTAACTAAGTGAATGGGATAATGGAGGGATTATCGTTTAAAAACAATGTTTATGTTTTACTGGCTTAGATTGTGATCCTTGTTTTGATATTTTTTGTGATAACTTGATCAGTGTTGTTACTGCATCTTGTATATATTTCAAAACATGTATATTGTGGTAATATTTCAATATTAGGCCTACTGTGTAGATAATAATGTGTAGTTGACTCTCCCTATTCGTGACTACCTGTTAACGACTTTAACATTGATAAGATCACTGAGCCAGTAGGATTAGAGACCACTGGTCATTACTTGTGGTAAAAATATAGGCCCTATACAAATACAAGAAACCATCGGTATGAACCTGTACATAACACTAGCTGTGATTGTTGTCTGACTGAATTTTTCTTCTATTAATGACAGACAGCTGATCGTGACGATGGCAGATGTGTGACAGACATTTGCTGACAAAACATAATGTTCTCATGTGACTGACAACTAATGCCGACATGTGACAGACAAACGATGATGACAAATGATAATGACATATGACAGACACGTAAGCTTGTTATGAAAACTATATCATGTCGCTCTCATTTAAGTTATATAATGTCATAAACATCTAACCTAAACTTTGTCATACAAATCTAAACTATAGCTTGTGAGACACATCAAAACTATACCTTTTCATACACATCTAAACTATACCTTTTCACACACTTCTAAACTATTCCTTTTCACACACATCTAAACTGTACCTTGTGACACACATCTAAACTATACCTTTTCACACACATCTAAACTATACCTTTTCACACACATCTAAACTGTACCTTTTCACACACATCTAAACTATACCTTGTGACACACATCTAAACTATACCTTTTCACACACATCTAAACTATTCCTTTTCACACACATCTAAACTATACCTTGTGACACACATCTAAACTATACCTTGTCACATAATCTAAACTATACTTTGTTACATACATGTAAACAATACCTTGTGACATACATCTAAACTATAACATGTCCAATTTCTTAATCAACTAAATAATAACTTTATCGCGATGTAAACATCCTTTTCCTAAATATAGGAGATGATTTTCTTTGATTAAATTACATATTTGTCCACTAACAAATGGCTTTAGATGTTTATTACTAACTCTCATAATATATGATACAACATATTAAAAAGGCGCCGCCACTGCCTATGGCAAATTTACATACAATTATACAGGTCCCTGTTATCTTGAGTAGCTTAAGAAAACATCAAATCACAATCCGTTTTAGTACGAACAAACTTCAACTCCTTACAGATATATCGCTGATGTAAAGGCCGACAACTGATTTCAGTTGAAACTGTATTAAATAGTACTTTTATGGCTTTGTAGATAAGTTTTTGTGTCAATAGAATGCACGTTAAATCATTTATTTGGGAAGATTAGATAAAAGCCTACACACACTAGAAGCGCAATGGGAACTCTGAGAGTTTAAGGGAATTAATTCGCACTTGATTGTTCAAATACTCAAAGACTTGCTGATTAACAGGGCTAATGGGATTTGGAGGCTAAAAAGGCTGATCAAATTTGGTCGTTAAATAAGTTAGTTAAATATGGTGGTTAATTTGTGATTATCGTCTTTAAAATAATATATATTCAACCTCTATTTGTATTGTGTCTACTCGCTTAAAGCTAGCTTGTCACATAGATTTAATTGTTACATTCCCTCAACATCACATTTCCAAGTTTGATTAGTCCTTTGTCTTCACATTCGTCTTTATCTTGTTACAACAAAGAGTAAAAACTATCACTTTTACTTTTAGTATAGCCAAACTCACCTGCACAAGTCATATGTGTTAAAAATTAAATGGCTCTTTAAGATGTTTTTGTCCCAACAAAATACGTTAGTTAATTACCCCATCATAAAGTGACGCTGGGGGACCCTTGACAAGTGCAGGTTGGTTATATGTGAATACCTGTTGGTTATATGTGACTACCTGTTGGCTATATGTGACTACCTGTTGGTTATATGTGACTACCTGTTGGCTATATGTGACTACCTGTTGGCTATATGTGACTACCTGTTGGTTATATGTGACCATTGGCTATATGTGACTACCTGTTGGCTATATGTGACTACCTGTTGGCTATATGTAACTACCTATTGGCTATATGTGACTACCTGTTGGTTATATGTGACTACCCGTTGGTTATATGTGACCATTGGCTATTTGTGACTACCTGTTGGCTATATACCTGTTGGCTATATGTGACTACCTGTTGGCTATATACCTGTTGGCTATATGTGACTACCTGTTGGCTATATGTAACTACCTGTTGGTTATATGTGACTACCTGTTGGTTATATGTGACCATTGGCTATATGTGACTACTTGTTGGCTATATGTGACTACTTGTTGGCTATATGTGACTACCTGTTGGCTATATACCTGTTGGCTATATGTGACTACTTGTTGGCTATATGTGACTACCTGTTGGCTGTATGTGACTACCTGTTGGTACCTAAACTAAACTCTACCTATGTATTTGCCTGACGGAGCTTGGACCAAGTCTACCCAAAAATAAACCATCGACTTGCCCTAGTGGCTCGCAGTTTACCCACAGTAGTAAAACAAGACATTAGACCCGTTTATGACAGTCTTATCTGCGAAAATCAATTTCTAATTGCACGTCTGCTTTTGGTAACCACACTCACTGTTCCCAGTTTGTACAAAAATAAAAAAAAACCCACCCCTAATAACCCCCCTCGGTGTGTGTGCTATTTTTAAGCAAAATTTCACCTCCTCCTTTCCACCCCCACCTCCCTTTTTTTTAACTGTGTCGGACACAGTTAGGCCGTGTGTGACACAGTTACCCGCCCGTGATACACCCTTTACTTTCCCAGTCGTCCCCCTTTATCCCTTCCACAATACCGCCAGGTATTATCCCACCCCACCCCACCCCCCTCTCGCTGACTAGCAAAGCACCCTCTATTATTTACGGGTGAAATGACAGGGGACAAGGCCATAGCTTGGCGAGGGAGATTTTTTTTTTCTCTGCGACCTGACGATCTGTAGACCCAGGTAGAGACACACCGGTCTCCTCACGTGGTGTTGTGGGTTAGGGTTATGTTGGAAAACATTCTTGAGCTGTGGATTAAGGTACGTAACTCCGTTTTATTTGGTAACATTCCTTACATTCACGACAACATTCTCAAGTTACTAGCTGGGAGTGCAGGCGTGTTAGCACATTCTTCAACACACGATAACATTCTCAACATTAGCGATCTTTTTCATTGATGGCAAAATCATTTGATTAAAGACATCAGTTCATTAACAACATTATTCTACTTATTTACATTATGTTTCGTTAGACATATTCTCTCTATTTACAACATTTATTCATCTCATTAACAACATATAGTTTTCATTAACGGCAACTTTTAATGTAACTCATCTACCATTGAGTCGAATTAAAGACAACACATCTACGAATCAATGTTCAATGTTTTCAATGAAAAACTTGTCCGAATATTTCATTGGATAGGTGCAGGTTTGGTTAAGTAAATCAGGGCACTTTTCTGATTATATAGGGGTTAGGGGTCAGGGTTAGGGTGTTAGGGGTCAGGGTTAGGTTATGGGTCGGCAGCCTACGGCTCCAGAGTCGCTTACACTACTAGTCTAGTGACAGATTATGGTTCTTTGTGTTAAATATAACAATTAATTAGACGCTTGTAGACACACTCACATACACACACGTACACTAATTTAATGCATATTTTCATCGTTAAGATAGGTAGAGTCTAGTTAGGTTTATAGAGAGGGCTAGGGTAGGAGGCGACGTTGGGTAAAAGTAAGATAGACTCAATCATTCGGTGCGGCAGATGAAGTAGAGTTAACCTGTTACGTTTCACCTCGGCCTATAAAAGTATTGTGTTATTAATAAAGTTAACCATTCGTCTAAAGACACATACCCGTGTACAGTTCCATTTTTATGTTTGATAAATCCTTGACTTTTCCTTCCTCGGTAGCCTAATATTAAACTTACCCTTCGTTAGCCTAGGGTCAGTCTGACCATTCGATAGCCTAGGGTCAGACTGACCTTTCAATAGCCAACTGTCAGACTGAGTTTTGATAGCCTACGGTCACCAACCCTTCGATAGCCTAGGGTCACACTGACCCTTCTATAGCCTACGATCAGACTGACCTTTCAATAGCCTAGGGTCAGTCTGACCATTCGATAGCCTAGGGTCAGACTGACCTTTCAATAGCCCACGATCAGACTGACCCTTCAATAGCCTACGGTCACCAACCCTTTGATAGCCTACGATCAGAGTGACTTTTCATAATCTTAGGTCAAATTAACCTACCCCACTAATGCCCGAAAATATTTTTAACCCCAGGAAATTTTGAAAACTTTTACAAACTGTTCTGACACTTGAGCGTAACGTCAGCCCCTCCCCCTCCTCCCCCTGACCCCCACCCCCTCCCATCTCTACCGCTACTGTCGTAATTTTTTTTTATCCCCAACGTCAGGAAACTAAAAAAAAATAACGTGGAAATACCTTCGACTTAAACTGTCGATCAAGCTGTCAATGCTGACTTCATTTAAAACAAAAACAACAAGCTGAGATGTGATTAACCAAATTTCGTCAAATCCCGTCCAAACTTCGTCAAATCCCGTCCAAACTTCGTCAAATCCCGTCCAAACTTCGTCAAATCCCGTCCAAACTTCGTCAAATCCCGTCTAAACTTCCTGTTCAAACTGCATTAAATCCCGTCCAAACTTCGTCAAACCCCGTCCAAATTTCCCGAAATCCCGAATGCGTGGTAAAAACAAACATCGACGTTTATAATAAAACACTTCACATTTGTGACCAAAACTCCACATTTACCTATTTGGGACCGAAACTCTACATTTGGGACCCTTAAACTCATTCGGGACCCAAAGTCCGAATTTGGGACCTAAACTCCACATCTGCAGATTGAGGAAAGAAATTCCACATTCGGGACCTAAACTCAACGTTTGCACATTTAGGACCTAAACTCCACATTTGCACATTTAGGACCTAAACTCCACATTTGCACATTTAGGACCTAAACTCCACATTTGCACATTTAGGACCTAAACTCCACATTTGCACATTTAGGACCTAAACTCCACATTTGCACATTTAGGACCTAAACTCCACATTTGCACATTTAGGACCTAAACTCCATATTTGCACATTTAGGACCTAAACTCAACATTTACACATTTAGGACCAAAACTCCACATTTATGACCAAAGTTTTACACTGGTGACACTTTTTTCGACAAAACCTCAAAATGTCTGACTAAAACGGTTATGACTAAACTCGTCATTGTAAACAGACAATTCACCGCACTCTCAATCACCGGCAGACGTCATTAGAAAAACTGCGATAAACGGGGAGAAAGTAATTTTCAAGTGGCTTTTTTAGACGCCAACTTTATCTGGCCATAGGGTAAATAAAAGCTAACTTTCAGCAGCGGTAAAGTGGGTCCTTCTGTGGTTTTCTCATGGCT